AGGAGTCCTGACTCCTCCGCTGTGTGAATAATTGAGGCGGCAGCTCCCAGGTTATACAATTTACTCGTAACTTTTCCCTGTACTGACAAGAGAACGGCGGAGATGAATTACTTTTAAAACAGTTTCCGCTGGGCGCCATTGCTCCAAAAATGGAGTATTTTTAGAGTGAAAGATGAGATTTCATTAAAGGTATACAGGCGGAGGAGTGGGCTTAGGTGAATTTTAATTGGTAGGGGAAATAGCCTATTTGTTAGGATAAAGGCGAGAGGGGAGAGGGGGGGCTTGGAACTATCCATTTAGCAGGTTTATTATCAGGTGGTGAGTGGTGGTGGCGGCTATTAATACTGTCAGTGTGTTGTACCCTTACTTGACACGCTGGCCCTCCGTGGTACAGGTCAGTGTGGTGCTGAAGTGTCACATGGACGGCTGTGGCTGCTGCTGTGGCTGCTGCTGTGGTCGGTGCTATGGCTTAATGGGCTCAGGGACTGAACCCCATAATTTATTTACCTAAGCAAGTTACAATCTTGATGAACTAGTTACAAAATTCAGAATAAATCGTCACATCAACAATGGGTTCGAGATCGATCGACCACAAGTACAGTTTCTAAATTAAGCAACTGACATATGTGGAGAGCTAGTGTCACAATTGATATGTTTGTCCTGCACACCGCCCCCCATCCAGTGGGCAGCGGTGGATAGGTTACAATCACTTAGTTACTACCTACAGTTAGCAAACTGGGGATATTTGGCTAAAATTTCTGGTAGCAGATCATTTTGAATGAAATATTTACACATCGCTGGAACATTGGTTATAGAATTGTCTCTGAATTCACGTATCTTTTCGCACTCCATCACAAAGTGACGGAGGGTGTGCGAATAATTTTGACGACACAGTTTACATTTGGTCAGGTCTACATCAGCAGATAATAAGAATTCCCAGAGATACTTGTAACAGAGTCTACGCCGAGCAGTAGTAACATCTAGAAGTCTGCTGATTGTATTGGAGGAGCCATAGATGTGTGGCTCCTCTTGCATGATAGTATGATGATAGATGGAATTACTGGTGTCGATTTCACTTTGCCTCAGAGCTACAAGATTGTGTTGAAGTTCTTGGTGTACTGCTGCTCTCAGATTGCTTATTAACAATACAAGGTTATACTCAATTTCTCCTTTTAAAAGCAGATTCTTTGGCTAACTCATCAGCTCTATCATGCATTCGGAGGCCAACATGAGATGAAGTCCACATGAAATGGACTCTGTTACCATCATTACCACACCGATACGAGTCTTGTGTTCTCTAGAACGAAGGTCCAAAAGGTATTTTACCTGTAGGTTGGCTTTGAGGTTTTCTAATGGCAGCCCGTGCTGAAGCCTGGCTTCCCTGATGACCTTATCTGGTAAGGCTGTTTTTCGTGCAGCATAATTCCAGCCCTTTGACACGGGGCTCGTGTGTGATCATTCGATCAGTCGGGTTAAATGCAATATCTGGTTGGTAAGTGGATGGGTAAGCACGTGGATAGCCTCACTCTTGGCTAGGAGACGTGGATGATTTAGGTTGACCACAACATCCATCACAGTCCGGCTGGGAGAGACTTATTCCGGTATGATTTATTGTTCGGTGGTAGAAGGTTGTACCATAGACGAATGATATTTGTTGTTTTATAATGGTGCTTTGAACGATCTTAGTCGTCACTGGGGGTGTACAGGTACACTGTCTCACTGGGGGTGTACAGGTACACAGTCTCACTGGGGGTGTACAGGTACACTGTCTCACTGGGGGTGTACAGGTACACTGTCTCACTGGGGGTGTACAGGTACACTGTCTCACTCTGAGAGGCGCCCAGTGTACAGGTACACCCCCAGTGTACCTGTACATTGGGGGTGTACAGGTACACACACTCTGAGAGGCGCCCAACACCTGTTGAAGGGAAGACTGAGATGCATTACATGGGTTTAAAAATCGTTCTTTAGGATCCCAGTCTCTACCACAGCTCTATTACCCCTACCCTCTCCCCTCGTTCCTATTCCCTCCCCCTCTATCCACCCCCCCCCTCCCTACCCCCTCTTTCGTGCACCCTGTCCATCCACTCACCCCCTCTCCACCCCTTGTTCGTACAAGGGCGTTTGTTCCGCTACGTTTCTCGCCTCCATCCCGACTTTGATTATATTTGAATTCATAATGTGGAGGCTGCCGTGCCCCGCTCAGGTGATGGACCCCTTCACCCTGTGTGGGGGGGGGGGAGGGGGCTGGCACTCGCTGCCCCCACCAGTGCCACACGTGTGCCCTATTGTCTTGGCACCAGTCACACGGTGCCTAGTGGCACTCTCGTCCGTGGTGGGCGGGGGAGTAATGGGGTAAAAGTGGTGGTGATTGCAACACGAACTTTATTACAAAAGTCTGACACCAACAGATCATTGGATCCAACTTAAGCTGTTGGCATGGCCATAAGCCTTTCAATAATAATGTGAGGCGGGGATATGGAGGCAAGTATTTATCCAATAAATATGTTGACCAGACCACACGCTAGAAGGTGAAGGGACGACGACGTTTCGGTCCGTCCTGGACCATTCTCAATCGACTTGGAGAATGGTCCAGGATGGACCGAAACGTGGTCTGGTCAACATACTTTAGCCACGTTATTGTGACTCATCGCCACCAATAAATATATTTGTTGTACAAAACACGATATATCGCACTATTATCCCCCCGCAACCCGTACTCGCCTAATTCGTCGCATTATTTACGGAATTGGCAAACTCGTTAAGAATACGTCTTGGTAAAAATTAAACCACTGTAATAATTACGTTTTCGATGCATAACTCTTCGTCTATCAACGATGTTGTACCTGTTGTGTTCTAACGTAAGAATTCTTACCTTCGAAGTCACTGGAGTCTGGTCTTGCCGGAGGCGCCGTCGACAGATTCTTCTCTCAATGTGTCCAACGTGCTGGCCGCCCGTACTGGGTGTCAGTATCTCCTTATATTTCTTACTCATTTGCGTTTCCAGCGGAGGGTATAGCTGTGGATCTTGTGGTGGTGGTGGCAGCGGATCCACGGACACTTACCGTTCTTGTACGTGACGCCAAACGTTCTTGCGTACACCACCATATGGTACTTCGATGCCCTTCGCTCTCAAAACTTATCGGTGGACAAATTTCTTCGGCTCGTGGTAGGCTGTTTCAGCTCTGCTTTCATTATTCTCTTGTAGTTAGAGCTCCCTCGAGGTAACTCGCGGAGCTTCAAAATGTCAAGGGATTTCAGCTCTTTTGTGTACAGTGTTGTGAGCCGGCGTAATATATTTGCGAGTGCACAAAGGCCTGGAAGAACGTCCCGCCAAACACACACCGAAACTACGACGTTGCTACAATGTTCGAACAAGTTTTAACACCTAACCAGTTATAACAACCAATATATCAAGTTGTAACAACGTTCTAATACGTCATAAACACGTTAAGCCAAGATGTAACAACTTTATTACAAGTTGTAACAAGCGGAAAATAGACAGTTACGGTTTGTGTTTCCGTGGTTCTGTTGCGAGTCTGCTGTGAGAGCCGTCCATGGGTGGGTGCAAGGAGAGTGCTGTGAGAGCCGTCCATGGGTGGGTGCAAGGAGTCTGCTGTGAGAGCCGTCCATGGGTGGGTGCAAGGAGTCTGCTGTGAGAGCCGTCCATGGGTGGGTGCAAGGAGTCTGCTGTGAGAGCCGTCCATGGGTGGGTGCAAGGAGTCTGCTGTGAGAGCCGTCCATGGGTGGGTGCAAGGAGTGTGCTGTGAGAGCCGTCCATGGGTGGGTGCAAGGAGAGTGCTGGAGAGAAGAAAAGCACTTAGGTGACAGAATGGGGACGTCTCAGGAGACGCACAACCTAAATACAACGTTTTTTAAACATTTGATGAAGGTAAAGGTTGTGAAAGTGAGGTTGTGGTTGTGTTGTGGGGAGTGTACTCGCCTAGTTGTGCGTGCGGAGGGGTTGAGCTTTGGCTCTCTGGTCCCCGCCTCTCAACCGTCAGTCAACTGTTGGTCCTGTTGAAAGGGTTCTCTAGCGTCGCTTACTGTTGCCGTTCTTATAGTTCCCAACGGCAAATTTGTACATTACATTAGGAGGGTGAATGGCGAGGTGGGGGTTGGGGGGGGGAGCAGGTAAGTGGGTAAGCCAGGGGGGGGGTGATGGTGGGGTTTAATGGGTAGGGGATGGCAACCTGAGGGGGGGGGACTGAAGCTCAATCACCCCCCTAACACCCCCACAAACAGCTGCTTCCCCCCTCCCCTCCCTCGCCCCAGCACCCCTCCCCCCCCCCTACCGTGCACTTGCCAAGTGGATATGCCCAATATGTTCCGCATGTGCCGACATGCACCTGTGTGACTGGAAGGGCTGAGGTAGAGGGAGGCTGGGCTTGGTAACAGCTGCGTGGGCGGGGTGGGCGTGGGCGGCAGGGGGGGGGGTGAGAGGAGGTGGCGGGGGCAGGCAGTGTGTGTGTGTGTGGTGGTGTAGGAGACTGAGGGAGGCCCGGGCGTGGCAGGGCGGCGGCGGCGGGAGCCCCGAGAATCAGCTGTGTTCCACCGCCGGCTTGCTGGCGTCCGGCACCAATCAATACGCTTGCCCAGCCCCGCCTGAGTCTGTGCGCACGTTTGTGTGTGTGTTAGTGTGTGCGTGCGTGTGCATTTGTTGTGGCTGTGTGCGTCTGTCGGTAGCTGGGTGACCGGGCCGCCCGAGGGAGGGAGGGGGGGAAGGGGGGGAGACTGGAGGCTCGAACCGGCGGCAAATATGACTCGGGGGGGCATTGCCGGGTGTTGGGGTATCTCTGCTGCTGTAGGTATAGCTGCGATAGAGGGGAGAGCGGGGGGGAGGGGAGGGGAAGCAGCTCTGGGAGAGAGGGGGAGAGAGTGAGGGGAGACAACCCTCACACCCCCCCCCCCCTACCTCCCCACCCCAGTCCCTGCCAGTTCCCAGCCAAGCGTTGCCCCTGCTCTCCTGTCTGCCTAGTCAAGCCCGTGTTCGCCAGGCTGTTTGACGCGTCCCGGCACGGCTCTCTCGCCAGACGCAACACAAACCCCTCGCTCGCAGCCTCGCCCACTTCTCGTAACATAAAAAGTGTTGTGGAGGCTGAGTTGCGTGGAGTGTGTGTGTGTGTGTGTCTCCATACGAGTCACGTGGCGGTGTTGTGGAGCAGGAGTGTGTGTGGGGGTGTTTACATAGCGTGGTGGTGGGCGGTGCTCTCTATTGCGGCCGCTTGCTGTTTGGGGAAGCTGTTTGTTGCCTCTCCAGGTGTGTGTGTCTTCCTCTCCCATCTCTCCTGACACCTCTGGTGCCTCCTGACACCTCTGGTGCCGCCTGACACCTCTGGTGCCGCCTGACACCACAGCTGACGATGCATTGGTCACCAGTCGTCGACTATCGCCGGGCACCCTTGCCAATCCGGCTGTGATACTCCTGTTTTGGTGCCTAGGGCAGGAGGATGAGTGCCACGGGGGCAGTGAGTGCCTACTGACCGCCCACAGTGAGTGCCAGAGTGTGGGTATGCGCGGTGAGAGAGAATGCCCCGTGTGTGCGCGCGCGTGCAGAAGGCGCGGACAGTGAACAGGTAACTACTTATAGCAGTAGTGCTAATGACTCGCTGCGGTAGGCTTGAGCAGCCACGCTGAGTGGTCAGTTATGGTAACTTTAGTAGTGCTAGACGATGGTAGTGTAGTTAGTGACCTGTGTGGGAGGTTGTTCGCCCCTGCTGGCCATCAACACATACTTGAGGTCGAGATGAGAAGTGCAGTGTAGCCAGTGTCCCCGCGACCAGCCGTCTGCGCCATGCACGTGCCCCCAGGCGTGCAGCCGTGCCCTTCCTGCTACGCTTACTGCGTGCCCCGACCGCCAGGACCGTCTGGGGCATCACCCGGGGCACTGCCAGGCCCCGGCGCCCCTCCTGTGCCCCGGCACGCCCACCCGCAGGTGCTGCAGCAGCAACAGCAACAGCAGCAGCAACAGCGAGACAGCCCAGGAAACAGCCCTCACCACAGCCCGCACCGCACGCAGCCCAGACCTATACACCAGCCCCCGACCTGCAGTCAACACCACCCACCTTTCCCAGACAACCGGTTCGGTTCCCTGCCCCACTCCCAACCCGTGCCCAAGGTCCCTCCCCACTATAATTCCCTGCCCCACCACCAGCCCCAGCCTCCCCCCCTTCCCCCACACCATGGGTCTGGGGGTCCCCCCACACATCATCACATTGAATGTGACCCCCCGCCACCTCCCCCTCATGGAGGCGTACCCCCAGGGCGGCCGCACGTGACCCCAGGACCCCGACCCCAGCACCACTGTCAACCCCCCACCCAGCCTCCGCCCCCACCACCACCCCCACACTCCGCCTACCACTGTCAACCCCACCGCTGTCCACCCCCCACATCACACCCACATTCCCAGCCATATTATGGCAACATTCAGAACTACCTTCCCCCACACATCCAGTCCCCACACCCACCCCAACAACACCCGCACCCTCAACACCAGCACCCTCAACACCTTCCTCCACCACACCCTCAACACCCCCCTCCCCAGCTACACCCTCCACAACCACCCCCAACTTTCTACGGGAGCGGGCCGCCCCACCAAGCTAACGGAAACTGTGGGCACCCGGGACAGGGCAACCCTCCACCTGCACAGACCACCACCGTGTACGCCTCGTGCTATGGGCATCTGCCCCCTCCACGACCCCCACCTCTCCCGCCCCCCCTGCCGCCACCCCAACCCTTCCAGCAGCAGCGATACGGGTGTCTTCCCCACCAACACCTGGTGCCGCCTCCCCCACTGGCCCTACAGCAGCAGCAGCAGCAGCAGCAGCACCAGCAGCACCTCCTCCAGCAGCAGCACCACCACTACCATCAACCACAGCAGCTCTACGGCTGCCTCCACCACATTATTGAACTGCCGGGAGCTGGGTGAGTCATGCCTCCATCGATTACAACTAAACATGAGATAGCCTAAATGGTTCGGTTGGCTGGTGGATTACCTGTGGTTGGGGCTAGTTAGTGGCACCTGTGTGGTTGGGGCTAGTTAGTGGCACCTGTGTGGTTGGGGGCTAGTTAGTGGCACCTGTGTGGTTGGGGCTAGTTAGTGGCACCTGTGTGGTTGGGGGCTAGTTAGTGGCACCTGTGTGGTTGGGGGCTAGTTAGTGGCACCTGTGTGGTTGGGGCTAGTTAGTGGCACCTGTGTGGTTGGGGCTAGTTAGTGGCACCTGTGTGGTTGGGGCTAGTTAGTGGCACCTGTGTGGTTGGGGGCTAGTTAGTGGCACCTGTGTGGTTGGGGCTAGTTAGTGGCACCTGTGTGGTTGGGGCTAGTTAGTGGCACCTGTGTGGTTGGGGGCTAGTTAGTGGCACCTGTGTGGTTGGGGCTAGTTAGTGGCACCTGTGTGGTTGGGGCTAGTTAGTTGCACCTCAGGTTGGTAGGGCTACCTATGGTTCAGGCACCTTTGAGTGTTGGCGAGACACAAGTTGCAGAGTCACACTTCATCCACAGCTTAAGTCAATGTAACAAACCAAAGGTTAGGAAACGTTTTCTAGTCGAAAGATGATAGAGGCGTTACCATAGAGCTAGAGCTCGACCCCCGCCGGTACATCTAGGTGAGAGTATACATACACTACGCACGTTGACCAGACCACACACTAGAAGGTGAAGGGACGACGACGTTTCGGTCCGGCCTGGACCATTCTCAAGTCGCTTGTAAATGGACATTAGGAGTCGACAATCGACTGAGAATGGTCCAGGACGGACCGGAACGTCGTCGTCCCTTCACCTTCTAGTGTGGGGTCTGGTCAACATTCTTTAACCCCGTTATTGTGACTCCTCGCCTGTACACTACGCACCATCCCCCCCCCTCACAGGAAGGATATTACTCTGCATAAGAGATTACCTAACCTAACCTAACCTAACCTAACCTAACGGACTGAAAACAATGTGTGTGTAATATAGGACGTATCAGACATAACTCAGATCTTGACATTCTCTATTACTATTATTATGGTTATATGACTGGGGCTTGATAGTTGAGTGGGCAGCGATGGGGATTCGTAGTCCTGAGGGTCAGGGTTCGATTCCCGGCGGAGGCGGAAACAAATGGGCAGTGTTTAGTTCACCCTGATGCCATGTTCACCTAGGAGTAAAATAGGTACATGTGAGTTAGACAGCTGCTACGGGCTACTTCCTTGGGGGGGGGGTAACAAAAACGGAGGCCTGGTTGAGGACCGGGCCGCGGGGACGCTAAGACCCGAAATCATCTCAAGACCTATTTCTTGATGCATTTCTTCTGCACCAAGAGCGTGGGTGCAGAAAACACTGACTGCTTGGGATGCTGCTTGCTGTCTGGTTCTCTTCAAAGGGTTGTGTTTAGTGCAAAGTTTTGAAGATGGTGTTAGGTAGCTGAGGGTATGGTGAGGTTGGTCACAATCATTCACTTCCCCTTAGCTCTTCCTTTCTTCTCTCCCCCTCTCATTCTTATCTCGTTAATTCCTCTGACTTACTTACTCCCCCCCCTTATCTCGTGAGACACCAGCTGAAGACCGAAATATGTCATTCAGTTTAAGCCCAAAATAATTTCAGAGACCATTTAAGACCTAAAATTAATCAGAGACGGGTTAAAGACCGAAATATGTCATTCAGTTTAAGCCCAAAATAATTTCAGAGACCATTTAAGACCTAAAATTAATCAGAGACCAGTTAAAGACCGAAATATGTCGTTCAGTTTAAGCCCAAAATAATTTCAGAGACCATTTAAGACCTAAAATTAATCAGAGACCAGTTAAAGACCGAAATATGTCGTTCAGTTTAAGCCCAAAATAATTTCAGAGACCATTTAAGACCTAAAATTAATCAGAGACCAGTTAAAGACCGAAATATGTCGTTCAGTTTAAGCCCAAAATAATTTCAAAATAATTTCCTTGTATTTGGTCTGGTTCTCTTGGTCCTCGACGTATGTGTGTGACTGCTGCTGCCTGACCCCGACCCGGGGAATGACCCAAAGCAACAGGTTTACGACCATTACCCCTTCCCCTCACAAGGGGAAATTAATTGCCTTGTTTCATAAGTAATGGTTTAAAGCATAAAACAGTAGATAGGACGGGAGGCAGGAATGATGGTAGTTTGGCAGGTTAAACTGGTCGAGGGCCCGGGTGTGACTGGTCGAGGGCCCGGGTGTGACTGGTCGAGGGCCCGGGTGTGACTGGTCGAGGGCCCGGGTGTGACTGGTCGAGGGGCCGGGTGTGACTGGTCGAGGGCCCGGGTGTGACTGGTCGAGGGGCCCGGGTGTGACTGGTCGAGGGCCCGGGTGTGACTGGTCGAGGGGCCCGGGTGTGACTGGTCGAGGGGCCCGGGTGTGACTGGTCGAGGGCCCGGGTGTGACTGGTCGAGGGCCCGGGTGTGACTGGTCGAGGGGCCGGGTGTGACTGGTCGAGGGCCCGGGTGTGACTGGTCGAGGGGCCCGGGGTTCGACCAGTCTCTGATCCCATTCCCTGTATGCCAAGAGCTTAGCTGGTAGAGCGACGGCCTCGCTTCTTGCGGGTCGGCGTTCGATCCCCGTTGGTCCAAGTGGCTGGACACTGTTTCTTCACATCTTTCATACCAGCTCCTATCTCGCCCTCGTGTCCCTTCCAATTGCTGGAAAGTCATATAGTGGCTTAGCGCTTTTTCCTGATACTTGAGCAGTTGTATCTCGCCTCCTTGGCTCTCATCTTCTCACCTGTCTTGGATAGTCTCCGTCGCTTCTTGTCGCCGAGGCCAGACTTGACTTGTGAGAGTTTGGTCCACCAGGCTGTTGCTTGGAGCGGCCCGCAGGCCCATATACCCATCACAGCCCGGCTGGTCCGGCACTCCTTGAAGAAAACAATCTTAGTTTTCTCTTGAAGATGTCCACGGTTGTTCCGGCAATATTTCTTATACTCGCTATGAGGATGTTGAACAGCCGTGGATCTCTAATGTTTATGCAAGTGTCTTAACTAGACGACCTGTCACCATTAGCACCATCAACACCTCACCATTACTCCCTCCTTCATCACCATAAATCTCACTATCAACACCTTGTAGTCATGACACCACCGATCTCTCACCCTGCAAGATGACAGCCAGGGGCCAGATTCACGGAAGCACTTACGCAAACACTTACGAACCTGTACATCTTTTCTCAATCTTTGGCGGCTTTGTTTACAATTATTAAACAGTTAATGAGCCCCGAAGCACCAGGAGGCTGTTTATAACAATAACAGTTGATTGGCAAGTTTTTATGCTTGTAAACTGTTTAATAAATGTAACCAAAGCCGTCAAAGATTGAGGAAAGATGTACACGTTCGTAAGTACTTTCGTTAATCTGGCCCCAGGAATACTACTATCATCATCATCAAAACTCATGTATGTAGCGATACAGCAACACACATCATAGCTACTGTGTGGAGTAAGTATATATATAGAGGGACACAGTGTTGAGGCGGGTCCTCTCGCTCATGGGGGCAGCAGAATGCTATTTGTATGCACCAGCCTCAAACCTCCGCCAAAATTCGTGTCTCGTGTATTTCCCGCAGCTCTGCCAGGTGCTATTTCTACTGAGAATATAATCTGTTAAGTCAATTGTTAGATTTATTACCTTAATACATTCTAATTAACCTAGCTATAAAGTGTGTTCTGATAGAGGGGACAAAAACTCAACTCGTTCTCGCACATGCTTTTAGTCAATATTGGCTTATTTAATAAGTGCATATGTGACATACTAATTGATTGTGAATATTTTAGTTTACCTTGAAAAGCTTCATAGAAAACACCGACCTCACCTAACCTTCTTAGTATGTTAAGATAAGGATCTTATTGCTTCTTAATTACAATTATTACTTATCAACGGTATAGGTTAAGTAATAATTGTAATTACGAAGCAATAAGATGCTTATCTTAACATACTAAGAAGGTTAGGTGAGGTCGGTGTTTTCTATGAAGCTTTTCAAGGTAAACTAAAATATTCACAGTCAATTAGTATGTCACATATGCACTTATTAAATAAGCCAATATTGACTATAAGCATGTGCGAGAACGGGTTGGAAAAACTTGCTATCCAAGGTATTGTGCTTAGGACAGACCCTTATGGTCCCTGGGGTCTGTACCCCAGAGGTCCAGTCTCTTCCTTGGTCATGGGGTTAATGGAGTGATCACTCAGGCTATTGGTCCCCGACTTTCACGCTATTTCTTAATTTCTTGTTAATAAATGGGGGTTGGGGAGAGGTTATCTAGAGGTATCTTATCTTGAGATGATTTCGGGGCTTTTTAGTGTCCCCGCGGCCCGGTCCTCGACCAGGCCTCCACCCCCAGGAAGCAGCCCGTGACGGCTGACTAACTCCCAGGTACCTATTTTACTGCTAGGTAACAGGGGCATATTGTGAAAGAAACTCTGCCCATTGTTTCTCGCCGGCGCCTGGGATCGAACCCAGGACCACAGAATCACAAGCCCAGCGTGCTGTCCGCTCGGCCGACCGGCTCCCCGACCGTCCCCGACTTTCATGCTATTTCTTAATTTCTTGTTAATAAATGAGGGTTGGGGAGAGGTTATCTAGAGGTAGTGGAGAGAGGCAGTGTCCCCACCACAGCCTGTGTTCCCCAGTGGTCTCTGATCGGTGCTCATAGATAATAATCTGATTAACAAATATATTGAACGGCGCTGAACATAGTCTCCCGCATGGTCAATAATCAATCATGGATCTAGAGCAGTTGAAAGGACGATTTCCCTTTCTTGGAAATCGGACGGTCTGAAAGGACCAGAGATAACGGTGAAATTGCTGGATAAAGACCATATTGCAGACCTCTGGTGTTGCACTGAAGTAATACACGAAGACAGACACACATGGTGATGCTAGCTTCAAAGCGATATATGACAAAGAGTGCTGGGAAGACGGGACACCACGAGCGTAGC